CTAACTAATATGTCAATCATTCTGTTCGATTGAAACAGTAGAAATTTAATAAATACAAATACCGGGTTATTGAAGACGGGATAGTGTTTGCCCAGTCAGCTATACCTATATTACTAATGACGAAATTAAAGCGGACGAAGTCGCGGGCAAAAACTAGTTAAAAATGAATTTAAATATGAATTTAGTCAAAAAAATCTTCTGTTTCAGACGCAATAAGACATGATACTCGCTCATTAGAATGATCAAATCACAATAGCTTACGACACCTGGTGACCGATTCAGAAAATCCACGGTACTGTTCAGTGTTTACGTGGGAAACTGCTGTGTGGAAATATTAGCAAATAAAACTATTGCGTATATTTTAATGTTAGTCTAATCGTTTTGATTTCGTCACTGATATACAGTGATGCACAATGACTGTCTTTGAATGTAAAATATTGTATTTATCTGTTCCTTATAAAGGTTTTGAATTGGTAAATATATTGCTAGTTCTTAGAGTCCCTTTGAGTAACAATTATTAAGGTTTCAATTTAAAGCTTTCTTAAAGTACATGTATGTATTAAGACCATTTTAGCGCGACTCAAGTTTTGGGATTTTGATATTGGTTTAAGAAAAACGAATGCCTGCTTCTAATAAATAGATGTGTTAACCAGATATTATTGGTGTGTCAAATGACCTTTGTTAAATACAACTTATATGGTGTGGAACTAAAGTCTAGAAAATTTACGGATAAATTAAAGCCTATGTGTCATCCAGATGTAAGATCTATATTTTATAAACTTAACTAAAATCTCTTCAGTAGGTTTTAGACGAAATAAAAAGTATTGTTAATGTTTAAAGTTAATATTGTATTATATGTACTCTGTTCGTCCCTGACTCCTGTGAATAACTTATCAGAGCCCACATAGATGAATCGATTTCGATGTAATTATCTAAAAACATTCAACATCCATCATGAGTGTGTTAGTCTACAATTACATAAAGTTTATGCCTACATGATAAATACATATAGTTACTATATCTGCTTATAATATTTATTGGCATGATTATAATACTATACAATTGAAAACCTGTTTTCTGCATATAAGTTTACGTGTATTAAATAAAAATATCAACAGTTAAAATATTTCAACACAGAGTTATTTTAACCACATGGTCACACGGTTAAAATAACGGTTAAGTTACTATTATTAAATACAGTATGACTATCGCTTACAAGATGTGTACTTATTTTAACAGTTCATATTATTAAAACGGTAGCTCTTGATAAACTTGTTATACATATTATATATATATTTGTTACATTTTAAACATTTACGCTATGCAATATCAATACATAAATGGCGCCTTTCGAATAACTTAAAACAATGGACTGTGTCACGGCATTGTGGGAAGATTTAGTCAAAGAAATCGACCTGAATTGGCATAACGTATGGGCCAACCAGTAAGCTTACCACAAGTTTGATTTTTACACTACGAACGGAACGTAAGTAGTTTTTCATTAATCGATCTTCTCACATTATAGTATTAAAGTACATTATTGAATGAGAAATGGTTAACGTTTTGTATAATGTAAAATTGTGCTAAGTATCTGTCTTGGTGGCAATTTTCTCAATAAAAATCGCATCTAGCTGAAGAATTTGTAATATTTTCTTCGTCGCCTGAATAGCTCTCGCTTGACGTGCTTACTAACAGTTACACGTAAAAGTAAAAGGAACATATTAATATTGCTAGTCATTTGTGGAAAGACTTTCACGATCTTCCATTGTATTATTTTTTTTGCTAAAACTTTAAAACAAATGTAAATATAACTATTATTCTAGCTATTATTTTTGCAATACACATTATACAAATAGAAACGATTCTGAGACAATAAAGTAATCAAATGAATCAACTATGTGAATAATGAGTTAAAAAGAAAAATGTATTCTTAAAATGGTGAAGCGTAACTCGAATTTTGTACGACGCGACGTAAAGAAAGAGTTATTTGACGTTTGCGAGAGCGCTAATTATTATTTAAAGTGTACATAGACAAAATAACAAACATACATTCTTATATAACGTACATCCCTACTAATATTATAAATGCGAAAGTAACACTGTCTGTCTGTATGTTACGCATTCACGCCTAAACCGCTGAACTGATTTTAATGAAATTTGGTACTGATTTAGAGTTGACCTTGAGAAAGAACATAGGATAGTTTTTATCCCAGACTTTTGAAAGGTTCTCTTGGAAACGCGATATAACCGAACTCCACGCTCGCGAAGCTGCGGGCGGAAAGCTAATTTTCATATTTTATACAAGTAATATTAATTATTAAATATTTTTTCTAACGGACGGATCAATTAATACTGGTTACATGATTTGCGCATCCTATTAATGACGTCATAGTTTCAATTGAAATTATAATTTCGATTTCACTCCATTCAATTTGAAGCTCATTGTGTTACAAAAACGACATTGTGATAACCAACTTAATTGTTAAGTAATACTTGTTAGACATTGTTACGAATGTCGTGTTGACGGAAGCCATAACCAATAATAATAGTTTACTCTTTGGCCTTATATTATAAATCAGCTTTTGAAAGAAGATAATCTCTCTAGTTTATAACATTTTAAAGATATTTTATTATTTTTTTATAGTGACGTTGCGTTTTTTGTTAGAAACTTAATAATTTGAAATGAAATAAAATAGTTATATAGACAGGCGAAGAAATTTGTATATAATATACATGTATATAATAATTGAAATATGTACATACATATTTAACCAATAGATAACAATATAAAATGTACATAAAATAAATAACAAACTTGTTTATGAAGACGATAAAAGTACATATCTAAGTTCAAATATATTTTTTTCTACATTTTTTACATTTAAATAATTATTCCATGAGAACGCTTCAATTATACGACAGAAATTTAATATGCCGCAGTTCAACTATAAATTAGGTATAAATGTTAAAGTGTCATGTTAGACGGTATTTTATTAAAAGTATAATTTAAAATCTCGAACATCAACACTCACGGCGATCGCTTGTGATACAGGTGTCCTACATAGAGTAACTGTTCCTAACTTTCACGCCTCGGAGAAACGAAAGAGCATGAGCTAAGCAAAACATGTTGAATTCATGACGAAAGAATAACTATATTAAATGAAAATAAAAAAACAAAACAATACATTCATTGTTATTTTACGACTCAACTGAAAATCACGAAGATCTTAATAGGATAATCATATGCCAAAAACAGTTATACATAGTTTAGGAAAAGAGCTGCTACTCTTATACTCTCCGATATGAACCAAACGAAGCTTAGATTTATCGCAAGGAAACTGACCTTCAAATGATAAAAACAACATCGAAATCGATCAATCTATTTGAAAATTACGATGTAAGAAACATGCTCGAAAACGGGACACATGTGAGTAATTAATATAAAAATACATGTTTTAATTTTTCGTATTGCCAGGATAAAAAACCACCTAATATATAGTCAAACTCATTTTATTCCGTAATAAATCCTAAAATATATTTTAAAACTTATTATTAATAGTTTCATAGGCATTTGCTAAACCAATATGTGAGATTTGTCGGAGTTAGGTCATGAGAATTTTCATTGCAATTATTAGTCAAGCAATAATTCTCCTATACATATTAAAAAATCTCTTAGAAATGTAAGCAAGCTTTTCAGATATTAGTACGAGTTTTCATAATTTTACAACATAATCTTGACGTTTCGGTTCCTTTGCAGCTACCGTGATCGCGGTTTTAAAACAATAAAATGCACGTAGTATCCTTTACGTTGTTTCACTTCAATGAATACACGCGAAAATAAATATCATTGAAATAAATTTGAAATTTTCGTATTTACTATAATTATTTTTAACTACATACTTCCGAAACGTCGGATATTTTGCAGCAACCGTGATCACAAGCAGACGAAATGAGAATGTTTGTGATCATGATTTTCGAAAAATAATGAAATAACACTTAGTAAGTAAATAAAATACACATTTAAATGAATACTCGCGAAAGTCTTAGATAAAATTTATACAATTCACACTTTGCTTGAATGATAATTTTGAAGTATTGTATACGCTACCAGCTAAAGTATAAATAAATAAGTCATTTATTCTCTCTTCACAAAATACTTAATACACAAATAGATATATAAATATACATTTGTGAGAGACTGCAGCCCATGATGGGTATAATAATAATAATAAATCACTTTATTTCCAGAACCATATTCCAATTTTAGACACTTATTATTTAATGAATTTACTACAAATAGACAAATAAGAACTTAAAAACTAAAACAAAGACCTTAAATTAATATTATGAGCATAAGCTTGACCGCACAATAACAATTAGCATACTCCTTGATAATGTGTGTGTATTTTGGACCAATGCCTGTATAAGAATACCTGTATTACAGTATCGACGTGAAGTTCTACTAGATTGTATTCTTCTAGTTACTGATTCATACTTATCGCACCTTCGCTCAAATAGTGTCACAACTCAAAAAAAGTTGAATTCAATTTTATTGCACTATTGGAATCAGAAAACTTCGAAATCTTATCTCAAATAATGTCATGCCCATAGTTCAACTATTTATCCATAGATGTCAATATTTCGTAAATTATTCGTTTTTTTCATCCGTTATTCGTTATTTTTCATAAAATATATTCCAAAAGTCTATTACACCATTTTGTTGAGTGTCAAAAATCATTATAACTTACTTAAAATCATATTGCAGTAACTTTCACAGTTTTTGAGTGATGAGCCGAAAAGTAAAGTTAGCATTAACTTCAAACGCGTTTTATTCGAAAGTTGGGATTTTTGACTTATGACACTATTTGAGCGGAGGTGCGTTATGTTGATACTGATACATAAAATTAGTATGAAGAAATTATCAATGAATACTCGCTATATGTATCTCGTTGTTCACCAGATAACCAGTTCACCATCAGCGGTCATCCAATGGGTCGGTGATGGGTGTCGGTGTCTTTCCGGTGGCGCTGCTGTGCGCGATGCTATGCGCCGGCGCAGCCCCATACACCGTAGACTGCAACCACGAGTACACAGATTGCGACAACGAACTCAGTAAGTTGATAAAAAAAATCAAAAAAATATATAAATGTGTCTTTATTCTTCTTCTTCTTCCTGGCAATTTCACAGCTTTAGCCAGGGTCTGGATTAATGTGTCTTTATTATGTCAGCATAAACCAATTAACACAGATAATATTGCATATTCAGTATACATTTCAAGAACAAGAAATTCCAATAAACAATTAAGGTTAACATTCCCAAAAAAACTATTTCAAATTATCATCAATTTATTCGCGTTTTAGAGGATGTTGTTTATTTTTTTACCTCCATAACAGTTTCGCCCTGTGATTCCGAATAGAGCGTAGGAAACTCGTGTAAGCGAGAAAAGGCGCGTTTGTATTAACATGGATAAGACAATAAATAATAATATTATATTAATATGAATTATTACAACTTATTACTTATTTTTTTATTTATCTTTAACAATTTAATTTATTAAAAAATATATAATGGCGGATTAATCGATGTCTCGATAATGTCACGACATTTAATAAAATATTACTCGTTCATTTTTAATGTTAAGAATGTAAGGACGTCAATGATTAAATTTAATGTTGTATAAAATAATAAATATATATAAAACGATACAAGGCTATAAACATTTTTGTTGTGGATGACTCATGTAAACCTGCCATTAAATATATCCATATATTATAACAAAATCTGCTTCACCTATAATGCAGAAAATTCTATTTTTTTTAAATAAAAAATGGTCAAATCAAAAACTATACAAATTTAGCTAAAAACTTGTTGAAAACATTCGTCCAAATATAGGTTATACCCATTATGATTTATTTCATTGGAAAAAAATTTCATTAATATTAGCTAGGTAAAGACATTAAATAATATATTTATATTAAAAAAATCATAGACTTAATTCCAATATTATTTTAGTCTTTTATCATTCATTTAAAATCTGTATTTTCTTTAATGATAATTTTATTATATAATGGTTTATCTATAATAATGCAAATGTCATTTGAGTTACAAAAAATAAGAAACTAATTCGTCGGATCCGCCGAGGGCTCGTGAGTTCATCGCCGTTCTTTAAAAATAACATTCCGTGAGGTTTTTTTGTTGTTCTTGTTTAAACGCTTTATTAGTTAAGGAAGGCAGGTATGAGGACGGATTATAAAAAGCTGGTTCTGTTGGTGATAACAGATAATTTGAATCTTTTATGTATCTTTCGTTATATTTCTGATGTGTTAAATTTAATTTAATACTAGCTGCGCCCCGCGGTGTTACTCGCAGATTTCCGGGATGTAAAGTAGCCTATGTGTTATCCCTGGACGTCAGCTTCCTGTATACAAAATTTTATCAAAATCGGTTCAGCCGTTTGAGCGTGAAGAAGTAATAAACATACTCACTCACTCACAAACTTTCGCAATTATAATATTAGTAGGATTATCTGTTTTGTATAGAACTTAATAATAATTCGTTTTTATTCATAGCTCAACCCACGTTGTAGTTATTGCCTAATCTGTTGAAATACCCTTGGCTGTATGAATGAGGCATTAATGTTTGCCTTTATGGAATAGAAGATAGAAATAAAAAAAAATCAGTTTAATTTATGTCAAAAATATGTTTATTAAAAACCTTTTTTTAAACTTATTTTTAACTGTAATACATAAATATAGATTATGAAGTTTGAACTTGTTTTAAAGGTACTTATTATTAATTCTCATAAGAGTGAATATACGAGTATGTCACCAATAATATCTAAAATTAAAAGGAAGGTTTTATAAGTGTTCTAAAACAATTGATTCAAACAAACAGTTTACGGTAACATAGTTATAACGTAACTCAGTCGTTCACATAAGAGGCTGTCTTGCGTGTCGGCATTCTGAGTTTAGCAGTGTTGTTGAAGTATTTTAACACTGAATTAATAATAAGTATATTAAATATCGGAAGTAGCGAAGAATAAAACAAAACAAAAAAAAGGTGCTGGTTTAAGTAATCAAAGTGTGAAAATTTAATTCAATTAAAGGTTGTACGAGTGGGATATATAATAATTTTTGTCATTTTTTTAAAGTTCCAGTTTGTATATAAGCGAAAATATTTTTTAAATTTTAAGCTTGTACCAGCGAAAAATGTGTGTAAAAGATTTTTTTCTTTTCGATTAAGGATAATTTGTAAGAGTTAGTGACTGTTATAATCTAGAACCATAATTCTGAATTTAAGGAATCTGAAATAATGCTTACATTAGAAAAGTAGTATTTTTATTATATTCTCGTGTATTCCTATGAATATAATAGAAAAAATAACGAAAGATCGTAAATACAGATAGGTTTAAAATGATTGATATGCTCTTTTTTGTGACATTTTATATCTTTGTAATTATTAAACTGAATTTGACATTTGCAAAGACATCATACGTCAACGTCATGACCCTATTGCTTTTTAACCTTGTCCCATTTAGTTATTTAAATATTTGGAATCAAGTGAAAGTATCTACTATAACTTGTGTAAAAGATAAAAAACAATACTTTTAGTATTACATATTATTTAAAACGTAAAATATCAGGACTATAATTGCGAATTTGACATTTAAGACATCATACGTCAACGTCATGACCCTATTGTTTTTTAACCTTGTCCCATTTATTTAATATTTGGAATCAATTGAAAGTATCTACTATAACTTGTGTAAAAGATAAAAAACAATACTTTTAGTATTACATAATATTTAACATGTAAATATCGGGACTATAATTGCGTTTACGTCGACCTAGAAGAACATAATTCCGCACGGCTTACTCAAATGGAAATCCTCTTAAATCCTTCGTCCTATTAGTTGGAAGGGACATCCGTATTTTGTAAGGATTCGAGCACCTGATATATGAACAAAGATGCGCGGATTTCCTCGTAACCTCGTGGTAGTCACGCGAGCAACCGGACTTTACGCAAGATTCACTCGATCGACGAATTACTCATCGGTGTGAATAAGGATTTACACTTTCGTGAAATTCTCATGCTAATTTGTAATTGCATTTTTTTTACGATGATTGTATTGATATATACATTGTTTTTATTGCAAAATAATTTAAGACATTATCTACACAATTTTAAGTATATTGATAAAAATTAAGATAATCTTATAGGTTTATTTTGATACATTTATAATGCGGCTTTGTGGGAATATATTTTTTAATATTATTTTTTGTCGTTATAGAATTTATTATTTGCCATAAGTATTAATAAATCAAAACTGATCTAATAAATGCAAAGACATAGCGATTCAGTGTCTCTATCCGAAACAGCCACCAACCATGTAGATATTTACTTATTATCTATTTAATTAGTATCAATATTTATTATTTTCCTAATTCCTCCTCTAAATCACTTTCACCAAATAGACAGTACTTTATGAGTGTTGTTTTATCACATACTGCATTTAGTTATTGGAATCTCATATATATATTGTAATCTTCTTCTTCTTCATTCTCCTTTTCTCGTCTTGAAGCACAAATTCACTAACATAAGTCGAGTTATCATTAGTCATTTGATCATCAATATTCTTAGAAGTTCCTCGATGCATAACAGTTGTTCCCTCCGATTAGAATCTCGCCGGTTTAAATTTTAAATTCATAATAATAATTCAACAGTTGTATATAGAGTTGAAAATTTATCAAATCTAGCATCTTTTTATCTTCGCCGACTCAGTCACAATAACCAGAACTGACTTCTAGGAAACTGACATAAATGGTTCATAAAACCAAGTCACTAAACCCGAAATCGACGATTATCCCAAGTCGCTATTACTAAAAGAATTTCTTATGAGAGTATGCTTTAAGTTCATGATACCTAGTTTGACGTTACTATAACCAAAACGTGGTAACAATCGAGGTCGTTATAAATGCAATTCACTGTATTTTTTTACTCTTTAGAAAAATCGTTTAAGCTAAGTGTTATACCTCAGATATTATAATAATTTAATATAAATTAAAGGTTTCATATTAAAATAAATATATGTATGTAATAGAAAGGTCGGTTTTACTATTTTGTTTGTATGTCGGTCAATATCGTGTTGTGAATGTCTATCATATATATTTATATATATTAACCGGTTTGTGCACTTCGAGCTTCTACGTCCTTTGTGACCTACATTTTGACAATTAAGGCCATTGCTAACAGATTAGCTGCGTTTAATACATCTCGAGTGCACAAAACGCTATGATTGGGCTTAACGATACCTATGTCGCAAGATTAAGACTTATTTGTATGATGTAATCATTAACATCATCGGTTAAATGATTAATGAGCAAAAGAACCGATATAGTAAGACGAAAACTTCAATGGATTCACCGTGCGAGTGCCGGGTCCATAGCGTTGCAAGGAGAGGAGCTTCAACAGTGCCTGGGACTTGCGACCCAAGTGTAGGTTTAAGGGGCCCCTATCTAACGCGCGTTAAACCCTGACCTCCACTATCAAAGCTCCTCCCTCTACCTAACCAAAATAATATGCCTATATACCAAACCATACTGTTACATAACATATATTGCATTTTAATAAATATTAAGTTTGTCCAGACTGTAATTTTGTGGCATATTTATCTCGTAGTTATTTAGTTATTACTTATTGTTAGATTGCAATTAAGTTTTACTTAAACAAATAAGAAAAAATATTAGAATTTTTACTCAAATTATATCTTTATTTTAAAATTATAATATTCCAGAATGTTTAAACCAAATAAAAACTTAATGTAACTTTGTTAAACTTTTATAAAACGACCTTTCAGTTTTTACGTTTTGTCATTTTAAAAGCATTTGTTCGAACCTGTGATATCTTGATAATTTATTTGTCTTTCGTGATGCTTGATGCTCAAAGCTTATTAGTAATATTTCCCTTCAGCATCAGTTATCACTTATGGTTACCTACAACATCTATTTCAAAGCATTGTGTATAAAAAAATATCATAAAAGCTATTCAATATTATATAAACGGACCTATATTACATTATTATTTATGAATCGTGACGAAGACAAGCACATCATTGTTGTGAGGTATTTTTTTAAAGGGCAAGGTTATATATACACGAATCTAGTAACAATAATCTTAATTATAAGTTTCTCTGTATTTTTTATTAACGCCTCGATCCGATTAAATCGACAGTTAGTTATGACAATTTCGATAACGGGCCAATCCGATTGACCAAGATTCGATTCTTAGGTTACATTATTCGATTATAAACCCTAAAACAATGGTAATAAGACCGCTTTTCCGCAGTCACACCCAGATACATTCTTACTGACCGCAGTCTCAATATTAGAGACATGTATGTATGCTTTTATACATATTATAATAATCTCGTTGAAATGGTGTAAGAACATGAATAGATACTGTAGTGAATTGACAAGGACTTGATTCCCATTATATTTGAGTATTCGTCTATTAATACACCTCTTTAGAACCCTAAAAGGAAGAAGATTAAATTTTAGCTACAAAATAATATTTATAATAAAAGTAATGAGAAAAGCAAGAATTTATTTGTAAAAAGCATTTAATTCTCGGCACATTAATCAGATTCTCTTCGTTAACCATGTGTTTGAATACATTTTTTAAATGTTAATTGCATTTATAAATGTTAATTGCATTTCTCTGAAGAATTTAATGGCAAACATTAAATGAGTTAGCGATTCTAAATAAATGATATATTCCTTTCTGTGTAGGTAAACTAACCAGTGAAGATGATGATTCACCAGCTATCTTATCTTCGGTAGCGTCTCCTATATTAGAAGTAACAACAATTTCAACATCTACCCTCACACCAACTCGATCTACGCCAACAATTGAAGAAATTGCTACAGAAAATATAACTTCTGAATTAACCACAACAGAGGCTAATGAAATCAAAGAAGCATTGAAACCAAAGCCGAGACTTCTGAATCTTAATGTTGACGAATTGCAAAATTTCGCGAATGCCTTGCACAATCAGTCCATGGGAACTAAGAAAGTATTGGGTGATTTAAGCGACGTAAATTTAGACGGAGATGACGATGATGAACCTAGAATAACGAGCAATGATGCGAAAAATAAACAAATATCTGATAAGTTTTATACAAATTTACAAGCACCATTCAATCCATTGCTAGCTGTGGATAGGTCTGAAGAAATTGAAACTTGTAAAGAAAATGAAGTAATGTATAAGGTAATTACAATATTTTCAATACAAATATTTATTTGACGTTGGTGGGGTATTAAATAAATTATGTTTATAGGTCGGTGAACATATAGACCGCGCTTGTGAAGAGACCTGTGTTTGTACACCAGGTGGTCACTTTGAATGTTCACCGCGTTGTAAGCATCCTTACATTAGACGAGGCAGAAGACTCGATGATCCTCTTTGTTTTGAGTCACCGGTGGATATATGTTGCTCCATAGTGACCTGTGCTACCGGTAATAGAGGTAAGTGGATATAAATCAAAAATAACATACACTTAAGAAGGTAGTGGACTATCAATGAAATGTCTATTGCTATGTTTATGTTATTAAATGTAAAAAAAACATAAATGTACGATAATATGATGTTATTTAAGGTACTCTTTTTTGCAGAATCTAAGCCAAACAGCGTGGAAATTTGTAAATACGGTAACAATAGTCACCCAGTCGGTTCAACGTGGAATATTGGCTGCGAACAGACATGTGCCTGTGAACCTAACTCCATTGTCACTTGTAAACCAAGGTATAGTCATATAACACAGAAAATACAACTAATAGTTTTCGGATCTACTACGCGTTTTTATTTATTTTTAACAAAGTACTCCGAATGTTTCGGTTACTTTGTAGCAACTGTGATCACGGACAGTCAAAACACATCTCGGGAGTATGTTGTTAAAAATAATTACAATAGCGTATGTAGTAAATTCATGTAGTAAAGTGTACTAAATTTATGTAGTAAAAGTGACTCATGTACGAAATTTATGTAGTAAAAGTGACAGTAATTAATACAAAACTTCTTTGTAAATTCCTATTACTTTAACTGTGTTTTCTTGTCTCAATATAGATGTAAAAACCTACCACATTCGGAAAAATGCATCAACGTGCAGGATCCCAAAGACGAGTGCTGCGAAGTCCAAGTATGTGACGTATCACAGGATGTTCACGAAGAACATGATAATATGACAAGCTCTACGACTAGTACTACAGAGGTATGTCCATAGAAATCTATAGAAACAACTATTCCATCCCATTCATACATATGCAAACCATTTTTAATATTTTTGTTTAATGATGGATAGCGCATCAGATAAAAATAACAATGCAACGATTGTTTGCTTTTAGATACCGAAGGAATTGCACGATTTGATCAATTCGCATCTGCCAACAATAAGGCCATTAGTTCTGGCAGAACCCATTGGATCTATAAAAGTGTTGCAAAACAATAGCGTACAAGTTAACCTCATGCATATGAATAACAGCGAAGATCCTATTCATCTGTTATTAAGCAGCGACGGAGGGAAAACATATAGCGATATAGAGTTAGTGTATTCCAATTTAATATTAAATCTGGACGGAGGTAAAGATTACATATTGAAAACTAAAGAAACTGGGACCAAATTTAATTTTACGATAACAGCTTTAGATGATGGTAACGAAGTACCGGTTGAGGAAAGATTTAATGAAACCAAGATTGGTTGCTATCATGAGGGACAGTTTTACGCTGTCGGTAAGTTCTATACTATGAATATTAATATAATCATCAGATATTCCAATAAAAAAGCTGTTTTGCTGATAAATTTAACGGTTTTGGTCTTCCAGGTGAAGAATTCAAGATACATTGCGCAGAAGTATGCGAGTGTACAGGAGATGAGACTCGTGAATGTGCTCCTATGATATGCCCATCACACGTGGGGTTAGAATTAGTGTCGAGGAGCTGCGTTGAATGGGAGCCGAGCCCGCCACCCCAACCACCAAACTGCTGTCCAAGAACCGCGCGCTGTTTGAGTGACGGCACATGCCATTATAAAGGCCATTTGTGAGTTTGATAAATGCTTAATACTTAACCAAAATAATTACCAATAGTTTTTACATTTAACATGGATATTTACAGTGTTCCAAACTGGAGCGAAGTACCGCTTTCAGTATCTGGTTGTGAGCAGAGATGTTTTTGCGAAAACGGTATAGTAGATTGTCAGGAAGCTTGTAATCCACTTCCTTCTTTGCCGCCGCAATCATTAAGATGCCCGCCAATGCATCGACCGGCGCCTGTCAATATATCTGATGAAGATTGCTGTAAGCAATGGGGTTGTGTCCCTCACGGTAAGTCTAAAACGCAAAATTATAAACTACTTTACAATTTGCACGTGAATTAAATACTTGAGACATTTTGTTCAGCTTTCATAACTCAAAGCATGGTCTGGCAAAAAAGTTTGTAACAATTTGTTTTCTCATAATTATATGTAATGCAAGATAACTAATCATTTCATTATACATTATTGCTTACAGTTGGAAACACCAATTCATCGACTTTACAGACTCATGGCATCCTAACTCACGAACCAAACATAATGAATTATGTGACACCAATGACATTTGAACCATCATCTACCTCGTCTTTTCTTCCCACGCCCTCGTTAAATACAGAAAAAGATTTTTTCAGACCCCTTACTTCAGTCAAATCATCCTTTCCCAAAATCCTAAAAAATTTAATTCCGAATATAAAAAACAATGAAACCTATAAATTGATCTTAGATCAACCAACTAAACATATATTAGGAAACAACATAACAGTGTTTACGCCAGAAGACTTCAATAATCCCTTTAAAACTCTTCAACCCGAACCCCCTTTAGTCACGCATACTTACGCTGGAACGCCGCATTTTCCAAATTCTTTCAAAAAACCTTACGCATCAACGCCTCACGACCATAACACTCACAAATCCGTTAATGTTATATTGCCAGACGGCAAGTTACATAACATTATTGAACAAGAAAAACATATGGATACCCATAAAAAAATTTCATTAAACGGTCACGATGCTTTGATAAATCAAATTTTCGACGTTCCTTTCATGAAGAATAATCCAACTTCACAGTCAGATAGTATTCGATTATTCACACCTAATGATGAAAGCAAGACAATACCGCAAACGGCAAATAAATATGTACACATAAATGAACATAAAAATCCAAGCATAACAAATATTCAAGCGCCATCGCAAATAAATTATACAGTTTCCGATTACCCGATTCATGAGTCTTTCAAAAACCTGAAAGATAAACAAAAAACTTATATAGATAGGACTGCAGTAACTATTATGAAAAATACTCGTCCGAAAGAATTAAATCCTGATGTCTGGCGAAAACTGCCCTCCAGTCATGTTTTGTTAAAAGACCCCAATCCTTACGAAACGGTTTTGCTCAGAGCTGTTCCCAAGCCTAAAATTGCAGTCAAGTCCACATACGTCCCAAATGCAAAGAATATTCCGAAACTCCCAAACAAATCATATTCATCACTAGACTTAGAACATCTTCTTAATCAAATGGAAATACAATCAGAAGTTAATAGAAATCTTGGACGTTCGGCGGATAAAAGCCACGGCACAGCCGCGGCAGGTCAGTGACCTTGCCCTGGAATTAATCTTGTTATATGGCCTAAATACCTTAATATCTCTGACCTACTGACTTTTCTTAGTGATCGACTATTAGACGTTGTAATTGGAGTGACGAATTAACCACACAATTTTTCATGCTCCGCTTTTCATACTAACCATCATTTTATTTACTAATTCTAATTATATCTAGCTCATTTTGTATTAACTTACTTTAGTTTTATATATTTTTACAGGTCAAAATCCAAAAGGATCACCAACTTCCTTCCTTCCGACAATTCCTCCTGATAATCACTATCCGCAAGACGACGAAATACCTGATTATGATCAAAATAATATCCATCGCCCGGAATATCCTATACAGTTTGGTTCATCCGGCCTGCCCATAGGATTCCCTGTACCGCAAGGATTTGACAATGAAAACAAAAAACTATCAGTTCTCTCAATACAATCAGATTCACCTACGAGCATAAAAATGCTATTTGGACTTGCGTCAGTATTGGTCGGTCTACGTGGTAGTGTTGACTTAAGATATACCGATACAGCGTAAGTTAATTATCACATAAAAACTTTAGACAAAGTCATAATATATAATAATATATTTTTTAAATTATTGTTGTTTGTTATTTAATTAGCATTTTTTACCTTCTGTTTGTTGTCGCTTAACTTTTATTTTGTGCATGCTGGTATCACCTATAAGTAAGATACCACTAGTCTTATTTTTTATTCATGTATATGGAATGTTTTTAGTGTGTATTTTGTTGGTGATCAAATAAATAAATATTAATTAACTTTTTCTTTTAATAGGAATGAAGATATAACACAATGGCAATCTCAAGTGTTCGCACCAGCTGACGAGATTTTGACAACACCGAGGTTGGAATTCCGACTCACTGGTCTAAAACCATCAACTACATACAAAATAAGAGGGAAATTATATCTACACAATCTCAAGATGGAACCAGAAAGCGAAATATACACTGTACGGACTCAAGACTTGACACCGGTGAGTATTATTTGTATAATCTTCTTCTTCTACCTGGCAATTTCCAAGCTATAGCCAGGGTCTGCCTTACATGTTGTGAATAGTTTTGGCTATTTGTTTTTTACGACCGGCCGCCTACCTGATATCAACCCTCTTTGGGAATGTGTTAATCAGTGATGTCTAAATAATCTTAGAAAGTATTATTTGTATAATCAATGACTGAAATTACGATGACAGTTTTAAAAAGGAGGGAATTTTAAAAATTATTCACAGGTGTTGCCACTAGAAGAAAAACGCAGAGAAATAGACGCGAAGTTGACTGTACTCGATGTAAACGATACTACCGCTCAAGTTAGTTGGAGACATTTCACTGAAGACGAGTTGCAACTCATTGATGGCATTCAAGTGAGGTAATCAAATAATATATTTCTTACATTTGTTCCTAGATTATACAAAAAATATTTAATAAGGGATTCGTTAAAATATATTTAAATACATTTTTCTCTACTTACACAACGGTTTGTTATAATATAATATGAAGACTTTGTAAAACAACTAACAAATAAGCAACCTTTACAAGCAAATAAAAAATGTTTTACATTTCGTTAGTTTATTAGATATATTTACATAAGAATGTGTATTTCTGGAAGCTACTACCATTTCAAGGTACTTTCTAATAATAATCTTCACCAAAACAGTTATATTTTGGTAGTTTTTCCATAATTAATCAATGTAATCAATCTAAATTCGTTTCAGATACCGTCCAACAGGCACTCCCATCTACAGTATGACAGAACTTCTTCATCACAGCCGGTCTCACGCTGAACTACGCGAATTAAGACCTGGCAGTAAATACGAAGCTTCATTGGTGTTAATACCACCTCCCCGAAGTACTACCGAGCTTATAGACCCAGGAATAGTAGAATTTACTACAGCACCATTCATTGGTGAGTTAACTATCACACAAATATATAAAGCTTTTTTTATTTTTTGGTTTATCTTCTGTATTTCACGAGTTATGGACTATGGTGAATGGCCTTAATAATAATAAATAAGTGGTGGCCTAGTGGTTAAAAGGACCGCTTCTCATGCAAGAGGGTGTGGGTTCGATCCTGGCCCTGGCAAGTACCAATGTGATTTTTCTGAGTCATATGTACTTTCTAAAAGTATTTAGACATCACTGATTATTATTATTAATGCATTCCCAAAGAGGGTTGATATCAGGCAGGCGGCCGGTCGTTAAAACTATTAGCCAAAACTATTCACAACATGTAAGGCCGACCCTGGCTAAAGGGAAATTGCCAGGTAGAAGAAGATATATAAAGTTTTAATGATTTTTTATTGTATTATTGTACCTATTGTGACTCACATTTAAAGATATAAATGAAACTAATATTTTTCGGATTATACTACGTGACTTTATTTTTGTAAAAAACTACATACTCATGAAGTTTCGGCTACTTAAAGTCGCGTAATAGTCGTAAGGTCAACTACTTTATGTAATCCGAGAATCTTAGCGATCAGTATTTCATTTAAACATATTTTATGTATTACGTTAAGATTCATTTAAATTATATTTTTATTCTTTGGATGCTTTCATACACAATATAAATGACTTCCAGATCCATACAACTGGTCTATAGTGATAGAGTCCCGTGTTATCGGCTCGGAGGCTGTTGAACTTACGTGGCGCGGTGTACCCGAGCCTGCTGAACGATGGGTGAGGGTGTACCGAGCGGCTCATGCGTGTGGTGAGGTCGGCAAAGAACATGATGCATTGAAATTAGCAGCCAGGGACTCACCGAATACTATAACACTATCTGGATTAGATCCTGATTCTAGGTAAAATATATTTTGTGTTACCACTTAAATTAGGTAATAGAGAAAAGTTAAGTACACTGTTATAGAATATCGGCGTGTATAGTCTTTAATGGCTGCGTTTCGACCGATGAGTGAGAGAGCACGTTGCCTTTTCCCTCCCTTTCCTACTTTTTTCTACCCCACTTCCCTAATCAAAAGTGGCAAAACGCATAACTATGCTCGACTGCCCATTACCATAAAAAAGTATTAAATTCCTCATTTTTAAGCCGTACTCGTTAAGCATTATTATAAAAAAGTATCATAAATAAAATTGCTTTTGCTTTGCTTTTGTAAATTTACTAACCAATTCATTTATTAAGTTTAATTTGTAACGTACTAACACTATATGGATATATGTAATATGGTCTGAAATAAATGATTATTATTATTATTAATTGACATGTTCCTGTACTGTCGTTTTTTTGTTTCAGATGTCGCGTCTGGTTGGAGTTGTTCCTAACAAACGGGAAGGTGAAAACTAGCAATGTTTTGGATATTCACACGAAATCTATGGACTCACCGGAACCTATTGATAGTGAGTTTACTTGCACAAAGAATAATTCAATCATCATCATCAAGTGGTGGCCTAGTGGTTAAAGGGCTCGCCTCTCGTTGCCGAGGGCCCGGGTTCAAACCTGGCAAGTACCAATGTGATTTTTCGGAGTCATATGTACTTTCTGAGAGTATTTCGACATCACTGACAGACGGTGAAGGAAAACATAGTGAGGAAACCTGGACTTACAGTTTCACAATTATAAGTTTGAAATCACCAACCCGTCTTGAGCAAGCGTGGTGATTAATGCTCAAACCTTCTCCATGTGAGAAGGAGGCCTTGCTCAGCAGTGGGCTCTGATAAGCTGAATAATTCAATATCTTAGTTATTTTATATCGGTACTAATTGATGTTTTTCCTTAGATGTTGTAGAAGCTTCAACTATACTCGTAGCTGGTCGTCACAAAGGTGATTACTACGGCGCGTTGGTAGTTGTTGGTGTTCTAGCGGCGTTAGGAGCTCTCGCTACTACGCTGCTTTTACTAGTATTAGTGAGAAGACATCGACCAAGATCTGTTCCCATCACGTGTGAGTAATTGGTACTTTTTAAAGATTTTAATCTTTATATATATTTATAACTATATAAACCGCGGATTTCCAGGATTTCCGAGATGTAAAGTAGCCTATGTGTTATTCCTGGAGCTTCAAAATTTTATCAAAATCGGTTCAGCCGTTTGAGCGTGAAGAAGTAACAAACATACACACTCTCACAAACTTTCGAAATTATAATATCAGTAGGACATTGAGTTTCTTTTGTTTATCCCATGTTCATGTTAGAATGTCTATCTGAATTCGTCTCCCAAAGAAATATTCGTCTCCCAAATTTAAGCAATACTATATATTTTCAATGTGAATTTTTCAAGGATGTGAATCTTAATTAATATATTTATAATACTGAATTTTCTTTGTTTATGTTAGAATCTCCATTTGGTTTCGTCTTTGAAACTAATATGGGTATCAAAATGTAATAATAAATTTTCAATGTGATTCCAACACTATGGTGCAAATTTAGTTCTTTCTTCGTGATTTAAATATGAATGCGATATACATATAATATATTATTGTTGGAGGTTCATTCACTAGACGGTATCATTCTAGCGGTGCCATCAGCTCCCCGCGAGTCATCTCTGCCTCCATACGACAACCCGGCATACAAACTAGAACTGCAACAAGAAACTATGGGTATGGGAATATTTTATTGTTCATCTTTTCCTCGGGGATAGTCTAATCCGCGTAACTACCATTAGATAATACTGCGTATCTACATCTGAAAAAATTATCAGAAAAAGTTTAAGCTGAAATATTTTCTAAATTAACAACTTTTAAGGAATTTTTTTCACAATTAGCAATTATTTAGTGTTTTTTTATGAAAAAATTACCATAAAAGCCGTTAATTTAAAAAATATTTCAGCTCAAACTTTCCTCTGATAATTTTCTTCAGATGTAGATACGCGGTATTATCCTTATCCAATAGTAGTAACGTGAATTTGCACTATCCCCGACGTTTTGTTTCTATTGAGCTAAATGTTTTTGATTAGTTAATCAATGGAATCAAATGTTATTCGTTTTTTTTAAATATTTTGTAGATAATTAAAATCTTGTATGGAAATATTAAATTTATGTTTTTCTAGAAGACTCGTTTAAAGATAATTTGATAATTAATTAAACAAATATTTTGAAATATCAAACGAAAAATACATTAGTATTTAGTTAAAAATGTACCAATCTCTTGTAATTTAATGTGTTTCCTTGATAATTATAGTTACTTATATTTCCAGATCTCTGACAGTTAAACTCCCGTGGCCTAACAAATGGCATTAACGGGAATTCTGAAAGAAATGTTGACCAAACGAGAGGACCCTAGAACGAAAAAGGCGTCTAATACAAAAGTATAAACATACCCATCCATATATCTTCTTCTTACTGGCAATTTCCCAGCTTTAGCCAGGGTCTGCCATCGATCCATAAATGTTAACTTAATTAAAGTTATGTTTTTTTTTTGACAGAACAATAACTTATACATTTTAAATCTATTTCTATTTATAGTAAGATTTAGAATTTTTCTACATGGTCTATATCTTGGTATAACTGTGAGCTTATCTGACTTATATAACTTGAAAACTTTAAATTCATTCATTGTATTTGGAAAGTATTTTAAATGACTTTTTTTATATTGTATCTGTTATGGTTGTCTGTGCCTTAAGCATAATATTTGTAAATAGTGTTAATAGTTTTATATAAGATAAGAATAAGACTGTTCGTTCGTTTGTTCATAGTGTTAAGATAATCTTCATCATTAACCGTGTAAGGTATACATTTCATAATACAATCAAATAAGTATATGTACAAATTATGTTTCAAGCATTTTAGTGACACATTCATATATATAAGTTACCTAATTGAAAAGAAACATCGGTTATTTCTAAGTTGTTAATATTAGAATTAATTAATAATATTTGTTACGATGATTTTTTTAACGAAATAAACTTTTTTATTATATTTTTTTCTTTTAGTAATACATGATTAATTACGAAAGGGAAAGGATGGTCATTACAAAAACATCGTTTAATTCAAATACAACACCAAATCACATTATATTTTCTATAATAGTAATACATAATTTCTCTTTAAATGATTTCGCTTAAACATTAGTAATAAAACTACTTCGACGTCCGTTACAAATTTATAAGTACGGTTAACAAAAAAAAAAACGGAATTACATGTTTTTTTTATTAAGAAAATATAAATAGCCCTTTTTAATTTCATAGAGGGTTATAATTTACTTCATATCTTAAGCTTAGAGGATATTTTTATTATATTTTCTCTTATCGAAATATTACAAAAGGCCTAAATATGTTTGAAGTTCAAATGTCCTTTAATTAGCTGGGATAACCAAGGGCATTTGAAGTTTACAATAAAAATATAAAAATATATAAGTAGGTATTACAACAAAAACAATCATATAAATGCGAAAGGAATGTTTTTTATTTGAATCTTGCTCAACTTCAAATAATTTTCAGGAATATGTATTTTTAATGATTTATTTGTATGACTCTTCTTGATATGTTTCGAATCTTTTATAAAACGTCTGTATTCTAAGAAGCTGAACAATATCTTTCAATATAATTATTAATAATTAAATAAAGATGCATAGGTTTTGTGTTAAGTGACTAGAAATAAATGCATTAAGACTAATATTGGCATTGACCCGTATTGACTAAAAACATTATCAGCGGTTAGTTAAGAAATAAATTGCATCAATTAAAAAATACTTTTTCATAAACAAGAATCGAATGGCCCCTGCGTATGTTTTTATTCATTGGTATTATTAATAAATTTTAATGTATCATTTTCAACTTTGAAATATAAATTTATAAATCAAATTAAATAACAGTATTTTTTATGAACATGTTATATTAAATAGACAATAAGATAACATTTAGGTACTAGGAGATAAATAGGTTTTATAAATTCGAAATAATTTGAAAGAATTTGAATAAGTTATCTTTCTTTGGAAGTAAAGTAGTGATTACTTGATGCATTTGAAGGTTAGTGAGAGGGCTTTTATTAAAATAATATAAAACTTAGTTATAAAAAAAACAGTTTCAACATAAATACTGTAGGAATTAAAAGAGCGATACCAACCTTAGTAAATATAAACATAATAGAATCTGCTATTAAATAAAAAAAAACTAAAAAACGATGCAGCTAGCTTATATGTTCGTTACAAGTTAAAACTTAACTTCAAGATGCTAACTAAAGCAACACTAAAAAAGTTTATTTAAATGGCAATAAATAACGTTTCTATGAATGAAAATAAATAATGAAACCAATTATATCAATAAAAACCCTCTCTGTGTGTGATTTAGTCGTTGATAGCGTTGTCTTCGTGAGCCTTCTTGACGACTGCCAGCTTGGAGCGAGGGTCTTGGGGTTGGAGTTGAGCGTACGGCGGGGCTCTCGTACCGTGAAGTACTAGGGACCAGCCTCGCAACCAACCAGATCGACCTGGGCTGCTGAATCTGGCCTGGAGAAAGAATATTGGGCCTTGGAATTATTTTGGTGCTAAGTGAATCTTTGGAACAATTTCAAAGGCAGTACCGTCAAAAGGAGATATCATATAGAAGAGTTGTAATAAGAAAAGTAGTAGTCTTGTAAGACGACACTTAAAGGCTTATATATTGGTTATATATTTGATTTGCCACTTAAACTTTCATCAGGATGGACTAAATATAGGAGTTATGTCGGTATTAATGTCTTATTACCTACTAAATAAGACTTAAGAGATTATTGGTCAGTTGGTGTTTTAAAGGACTACAAAATTGTAGCTGTTGTTTACCAAAAAGTAACATGTTAAAGAGGGTAATTTCAAAAAGCAATTTTCTAAAAGCTTTAGACCGTTAGTTCAAAATGTTAGGCATAAACCAATGACCATTTGAACCTTTCTGAGATGAAAGCATCCAAAAGAAATCCTTTTAGGAGTAATCGTAAAGCGGAATCAATATCTACTGCATAACTATTTTCTACACATTTTCATATCAGTGTCACAGAGGAGGTAACAACATTTTTGGGTGTATAATTATGATAATAACTCCAATAGATACATTAGTTTTGAAGGCCATTATAAGTTCTATCTTTAAATTCTCTTCAATATATTCTACAGACCTCCAAAGACCAAACTCCTTGCGGATACTCTCCCCACGTATGCGTCGTCATAAACGGCCACTTGGTAAAACCATCGCGACTGTCGTCATCATTAGCACGCCTGCTCAGAATCATCGATCTGAAAAGATATATATTATATAAAAGCAATACAATTAAACAACATCTCTTTTCTTTATTCCAGTTGTATGATTGTCCTTCATGTTGTTTTTAAAAAGCAGAGGGTTGATTGATTACTCGGCCACTCCGGTGTGATTAGACTAGATAAGATTAAATTGGAATAACCAATAAACTAAATACCTTCCATTCATATAAATATTTACAATTTTTACAAGAATTTTCGAGAAAAATATCAAAATAGAGGTGAAAAGAAACAAAAAATAGTCGGAAAAGAAGGTAGCTGTAGGTATTTACTTAGTTCCCATAGGGCTGGTGAGGAAGAGTTCTAAGTCCCCTCGTCTTGTAGCGTTGGCGCTGACAACAGCTTGAACATGCTCCAAATACCGAACCTCACTTGGGGTTCCTGCACATGCTGACGTGTCTATTTGGAGTGTGATACTACCTTCCGATGGGAGCTCGCTAGAAATATATTATATATCACATTGAGGAGGAATAACATTATAAAGTATACACGAGTAATATACACGAGTAATATACACGAGTAATACGGATAGTCGATAAGAAAAACAAATACTATTTGGACAAACTATATAAATCTCAGATTTTGTTGTTATTCAGTTGTAAGTTTTTGTTGTGATTGAACAAGAAATAAAGATAAAGTGACAAAGTATCTTTAATCTTTAACCCAGGTTTTATTAATTTTTTAATTCTTGCAGTCATGGTTAAAGATAACGTTTAGATAAACCATGTAGATTGTAGGTGATCTCGATACTTTTGAGACAATCAAAATTCAGTACTCTATTTCAATCTAATTGTAAGTACTAATCTGTATAAGTCAAGTACTATAAGATATTTTATAAAATGAAACTTTGTATCCAGGGATAGGACTATGCAATTATTTTAATATTTTATTGTTTATTTCATCCACGTTTCGATAACTTTACACCAACCATGATCACGATCAGACGGACACTTTCATCTTATATTCGTTTTAAATGTTAACTCGTGAATAATATATAGTTAAAGAAGATTTAATAAAGACATCTTACGTGTGAGTGTCAACTGAGCCGGCTTCACAATGATATCTTGGTGGAACAGATCGCCAATTAGCGGCGAGGGCTGTCATAGCTCCCGCGTCAAGTACTCCGAAACCAAACAGATGATTGAATTCAAGACCAACTCCATTCATAGTCCAATGGAAACGACCCTACATTTGTCCCAAAAACATCAGATTAAAGTTAGCCTAACTTCAGTCTCAATATCGTGAAGTAAGTTTTATATATGTGTACATAGTAAACAGTTATACAAAGTCTTAAATATTAAACAGTATTAACTCGTACAAATATTACTTTAAATAGAGCTACTATAAAGATTCTATTGAACAAAGCTTATTCAAGTTCACTCTTTATAAGAAGAATACTAAAAACTTTTATATAATACTTTGAATTGAAAATACAATTAATCGTAAAGAAAAAGTTTATACTTTAATTAATTTGGTTCTAAACAATTGATAGTAAAAGAAGGAATTAATCATGATATTAATAATAATGTATAACGCAGAAAACTAATTTAAAAAATCAACTTTTATCAAATGTTAATTAAATGGACTTGTATCTGTATTTTCATTTTTATTCATAAATTTTCGCATATGGAAGTATCAGCGTAGGTTTGTTTGTAAATAACACGAAACTCCATGTGTGTAGTTTGAATGTGAAAACTTGAGTTAAGTCACTGACCCATTATTATATATATTTTTTTTATAAGCCATTTAATATTAACATCCTATTGTGTTGTATGTATGGTTCTTCATTCAAAGAGATAGGATAAGTCGGGAATTTCTCTTTTGTTTTAACTTTAATACATCCACTGTCTATTTCTCTAGTTGTATTGTTTTATTATCATGATTTGTTTGTGATAAGGTATGTTAGAAATAGCAGTTGTGTAGGTGTTCGCGCTTCGCACGTCAGTAATTTACGGGCGATAACGTCAAACAATACTCATAGTTTGTTTTTATATAGTTATGACGCTGATAGTAACTATGAAAGTTAAATTTATTTAATACTTAAACCTTTATAGGCAAAAAAGACTTGATTATCTACTTCATCGATAGTAGTTACTATTGCCAATAAGCAATCATATTATATCCTTGAAGGCAGAAAAACAAAATACAAATAATTTAGCATAAAAGAAATGTTCCGATATTTTTCTAAAATGTAAAAACCTTCATGTTTTTATCATTTATATGTTTTGAATGTACAAGTATTATGATTTTTAATCTTAATAACTTACCTTCGCGTCATATAATGAGTTCCTTTTTGATGTCAAAACAGTGAGATGCTGAATGTCACGCCATGTCAAGTTTGGACTGAAAGTAATTTTAATATTGTTTAGTTAAAACATAACTAGTCTTCTTTAAATATAAATAAATAAACGGCTTCATTCCATTCGACAAAATCTTTCGTGTTTTTTCTACACAGTAAGTAAGTACTCAGAATTCGTCCAACAAATAAAAACCTTGACATTGACAAAATATACCCCGATTCTAGAGCGAATGAAGCCATAGCGTAAAAAATCCTTCAACATGACTTTTGTTCAAGAAATTTCAATTCGATATTATTTGTCGAAAAGTCTTTTTTCATATACATTACAGGTTTATTCACACATCTATTCACAATAATATTTCTGTATAGTTAAGAGCGAAATAAAGAACTTTATTTGAAAAAGTTCAAATAAACATCCTTTAAATATAATACTTGTTTTTCTTTCTCTATAACTTATTTTCTCCCTAAAGGGTAACTAATAGACATATCTTAAAAGGGATAAGTTATCCATTTACTACTATGTCACTACGACATATTTTTTTGTACTCGTTTTTCACTTTATTTACTTTTATTAACAAGTTTGGCACATAGAATCATGCTCTTTTATGTTATGCGTATATATATTGAAGAACAATACATACTTCGCGTGTAAAGCCAAGGCGAATACACCTGCAGCTTCTGGCGCGGCTGCAGAAGTTCCAGAGTGTGTTGCCGTACATTTCCCATACAGGTCAGTTGTAGCTACACCAGTACTTGGATCTCTAGCGCCGTTACTGAACGTACTGGCTAAAGTTGATGAACACGACTCGTCGTAGTGAGCGTTCTGACCGTCGTTTATTGCGCTGGATTTATTATTATATGTTAATAATATAGACATAATAAACAGCTTTTACTTAATCACTAGGTATTCTCGTATGAATACATATTATTTCTTTGCTTGGAATGGTAATAATTAAAGCAAACCTGTAGTTTGATTGATATGCATATAAATAAGTTTTAGTTATTTCTCTAATAGTGTTGGTGTAATGATTCACCTATTAATGGATACAGTCCACATGGAGGCTGCATATCCATCACAGTTACAGTCATCATCTTCACCGCCGTCACCACTCGCCCAAACATAGATGTTGCCAAGACCGTTCCGACCCTAGCAAATAGGGAAAATCTATAAAAATAGTCACATTTTCATATACTATTAGAATAGATTCATGGCACTTTTCAATCTTTTAGGTAAACAAGAGTATCTTCCATACGTAAAAATCCTTATTAAAACTATAATGAAACACAATGAACGCCAATTATCACAGTGTTCATTCGAAAATGTGTACCATTCTTGATACATTGGCATTAAAAGCTAGCGTTTTGGAAACTTAAAAAAGGTTGTACTTAATATTCTTTTGGCGATTAAATTTACGAAACTAAGGTCAAAAATAAACCCTTAAACTATATAGATTACATTTAAGTTACTTAAACATTAAATTTAAATTCATTATAATACAATCAGACAGAAGAAAGGTAGTGACTGAAATATATCAAGTAAAATACGTCCACTAAGTGAAATTATTCAAGGGAAATAAATGTTTCTTAACTATATGTATTCTTAAATGAAATTGATACGAATTGAAATCAAAGTGTCAAAATATTATTAAAGTGGCAAAATGACGTCACGAATTACCAAATTCTCATACATACTCGTATTTCGGAGAATTTGAAACGTTTTAAACTTTGACACCTCAGACCCTAAACTTGTTAATTGTTAGGAGCCACTGTGAGGTTGTAGCCAATCGTAAGTTTCTATAAGATTAACCAATTTTCTATTTAAAGTGGATAATGTTATAGGCAACATATTAATCGAAGACACGAAATTAATTAGTTACATAGTTTAATGTAAATATTTAACATATAAAGGCTCTTTAGTCGTTTTTAGTATTGTAATTTTTGCAATTAATTAAAAATGACTTCATGTCATGTTCTGTTAAAGTCAGGTAATTTTTTTTTAGAGGTTTTAACCCTTCTTTTATCAAACTCCTTAAAGAAGAAACACTTAAAGTATACAATATTTTGTATTGATAAATAAAAAAGATAATTCACATATTATGTATATTGATATTTATTTTTAAAGGCACTTTGAGATATATAATAATGATATTACCTTTTATGTATACCTTTTATTATTTCAATTATAGCCATAATTGAAATGTTTTCCTCATAATAGACCTTCAAGCTTCAGCCTCCAAATGTTAGACCCATGGGAAATTTATGACCTTTCGGAAATGATAAGCTTTGCTCTCGACCGAAATTACACTTATATTTTCTTGTCAAATTAATCTTATATATTTCAAAGTGTTATTTTAAGTACTATTAGTTTATAAATATACTAAGTTATCGAATAAAATATGTAATGCTTCTTAAAAGAAATAAAAACGTTTTTTATTAACCGCCAAAATGAAAGAGTAGAAGGTCATGAATATTTCATTCGTATTATTCAATGTATGTAATAACATTTCTTTTTCATATACGACTATTTAAGCAGTGTGTTTTTTGATCTTAAAACTATTGCCATCAAACTTAAGATTGTTATTTTCGATGTATTGAACAGTGGTACTCGATCTTAGAATTAAGCAATTGTAACCAAAAAAAACATGTTAGAATTTTTAAATCTATACAAATAAATAAAATAACAGTGTCTGTTTGTTATATTAATAATAAAATAATTTTATTTCAATTAGAAGTAATATACATTTATATAATTTTTGATTTTTCTGTTTGTTTGTTCAGATTGATCTCTGAAACGACTGATTACAATGGAACTATTAAGGAATAAAGATGACTACATTTATATTATTTCTTAATATATATTTCTATTAATATATGTAAATATATGTTATTATTAGACTGAACGGTATGCTTGATTTGACAGTTATTTCATAATAAAGGAAAGTAAGATATTTTTGTTAATATTTTTACCTAAATTGTTTTCTTAGTATAAAATAAATAACTCTGTTTACAAATACGATTTAATTAAATAAACCGTTCAAATAAAAGAATGGAGTAACTAAAGGACTAATTAAATATAGTCTTATTAAATAAGAAGAAATAATAAACAATATATTGTAAATAAAGAAATAACGAAATTCTATTTTAAGATGGAAATAATATTTTTTGGCGTGTTATTTACGGAGTAACATACTCGTACTTCTCAATAAATAATAAAATAGACTTATTTTTAAGTCTTACTAGCTTTTACACAATGTTTTATAAATCTATTTTGTTTTCAGGATTATTAATAACGTCTTCAATAATTGTTACTATTTCAATAATTTAATAGACGAGTTATAACATCTTTGCAATTTAAATACAAAAATTTTAAACCCTATTTTTGAAAAGTACACCTTCCATTTAACGGATATGAAAATCCATACAAAAAAAGAATATTCTTTTTAATAACGTTTTATTTACGAAAAAATATTTTTCCCTTCCTTTACAAGAATCATGTAAAGTTGCCGTTTGAATATATTTAGTGTGAAGATTTATAATTGCAAAGATACAGGTGTATTCACAAAGTTGTTGTCACACTACATAGGAAGTGTTTCCCGTTTTCCGTTCAATAATGTACTCTAATACTATATACGTAGAGTTATCAATGAAAACCTGGAAACGTTGTTTATGTATCGTGCGTTTATGATACAAACTTGAGGTAAGTATACTGTTTTACAAAATCTATTTGTAATTTGTTTGCGTATGCAGCGTGGTTCCTTTGAAACTCTCAATTTGTCTTATTTACAAGATGTAGTACCTTTTTCTTTCAAAACTCTTTCGAAAACTCATTGTCATATAAACAAATTTTTACCAATTGTAGTTTGATACGATTATTTCAAATTTATTTTAGAGTTATTTAAGAAAAAATTGACCTTAGAAGTTAGTTTTAATGTAAAAACAGAACGTGACTTTAAATTTTTCTTATCTAATTTGTAAAAAATAGTTTATAATTAGATGATGTATTTGAAAATAATGTAGTTCTTTGAAAATGATTTCATTAAAAATTATAAGGCTTTGGTCTGGTTTTCAGGATGTATATTGTAAATTTATTATTATTCATACACATGATACTTAACGATCTATATTAATCGTTATTAAATGGGCGATGTCGTTAAGCAAACGGCTAGCAATTAATTTTATTGCTTGTAACGATATTTGACCTCATCGTAAATAAACATACACTTATGGAAAATTAACCATACCATATTATTTGTCATCTCGTTTCATAGAAGTTCAGTAATGTATAATTGTATAAGTATAACTTACTATAAGTCTTATACATGTACAAACGTGTTTAAGTCCCATAATTAACGGATTTTAAAACCAAAATCATTCAATAATTACTATAATATAACTACCAATGTAACATATAATTGTAATCGAATTTAATTGTTAATGTTATTTCTTTTATATTCCAAAGTTAAATAAGTTCATAAATACTTGTAATCTTATCAAAGATCATGTTTACTTAGCTGAAAATAGCTTATTACGAGTACGTCCAAAGCCGCAATGCAGAGACTTAGATATCAGTCCGTGATATGAATTGAAACTAGTTGGGGGTTTCTTAAATTCTTTGAAATATTAACATAATATTGTTTTCGCGTTTAGTTAACATTTTTATATGTATTCTATAAAGTTTATTTGATATACTATTTCGGGTATTTAATGTTTGTTTTATATAAATCCTTTTTTAATAATAACATTTATCGTCTACTTCGAAACCTATGCAGCCCTTTTTTTGTTACATATTTCAGCACTCTCAAGAGACTTAAAATCTAGGAGACGTTTTTGATTCAAATTTATATTTTTTTTCTATAAAAATCGTTATGAATTACAAGTTCCTCCTCATTCGTAAATTTGTGGTAAAATTATAAAATAAATACAAGTTTGTAGTTCGCAAAGAGATCGTTAGTAATGTCTTTTTATATGGAAACACATTTCCCACGCAAAAGGTTAAGCATAGTTTGTAACCTAATACAATTTATCTTTTCTAACCAGACCAGAATAACCAGAATTATTTGTTCTAAACGTCTTCATTTAGAATATTGCATAAGATAACTTTGGCTTTTATTTTGACTTGCATTGTCTAACAAAGCTTTTACGAATTATGGCTTAGTTTCAGTTAAATTGTAGTGAAAATACAGACCTCATTAACGCCTCTGACTATAGCTCTCATCGTAGCGTTTCTTGGTCCATCAACTGTTCTCCCATCATCTGTAGGACCCCATGAAGCGCTGTAGATGTGAATCTTATGGGGCTCGTGTCCCATAGAGTTGGCTTCTATAAGATCCGTCATGTACGGCTGATCCAACATTCTGATACCTTGGACAAAAATGTATATATATATATATATATATATCATGGTTATATAAGTAACGGACAGAAACAAACAGTACCTTAACTCTGTATAAAGAAAATTTTGTTAAAAAATACTATTCTTTAAGGAAAATTACAGCTAAAGAAAGTTTTCGGAAACAATATTACAATAAAGGTAGAATGTAAAAAGAATTTTCGATTTCTCGCCGAAATTTCTCATTCAAACAAATTATTGTTGTGTAATTTATATATTTTTAGATTTTTCCGTTTCGCAAATTGAAATGAAAATGAAAACTGCTCGTTAAAGCAGACAATGAAACGTCTTAAGCGTTTGAACACGAAGCCATGAAAAGTTTTGGTCTGGCCTAAATTCAGTGTTCGGAAGCCGTGAATATTGTAAATTAACAAATACAATAAAAATGCCGCTTCATTAAATTTACCTCGAAATAACGATTTGAAACGCTAAGAAAATTACAGACAAAAAAATATTACTTAACTAAAAACAAAGATAACATGGAAACCACAAAGTAACTAATAAAATATTCAATATTAACTGAGGTTAAATCACAACTGTTGATTTAATTATCACCAGACTAAGAAATAAACAATCAATGGATTTAAATTATATGAACATTTCAACCACAAAACTAGTTTCCCATCAATTCTGCTATAAAGCCACAAACCGATCTGGACTATTAGATAATGTAAAGCTATTCGGTGAATTTGAGGGAATTTGAAATATTTTTCATATTGTAAATAAACCAAAGCAAATTGTATGGTTCTGTGACTTGGAATTGCTGAAACAGTTCCACTTAAATATTGTTTACTTACAACGTATGCGTGGAAGCTGAAATATGTTATATGTATTATACTAACAAAACAATACATAAATTTTACTCCAAAAAAACATTCTCATTTTCCAAAAGATCCTTTTTATCCGATAAAAATAAATACTCATTCCTATTTCATTCCGACCTTTGTTTACCGAACGTATGTATACTCGTATGTTTGATTTGTATCCCATTCTTAGTCCCTTTTTAAATGTAATCATTAATTATTTCGTTCCCTTTTTTATTTGTTTTATAAAATACTTTTATAATAAATATGTTTTTAGAATAAACGAACTTATTTACAAGTACTTTTTATATAATATATGACCCCCCAGTCACAGCAGTTGAAAAAAGAGTAACTTAAAAGCCAAAGGGGCTCGTAAAAACTTTCTTTATATTCAAAACAAAATCAAATTTATCAAACAATGTTTTAGAAAAACCAACCAAACAGGCGTGTATTGTTTTTCTTCAGATTACTCGTAAAATGAGATATAAAAGTTAAATTACTTTGTTGTTACTTTATACTTGAAACTTTTTAATACATTTTACAGCTTGCATCGTATATTCACTGTAACGAAATTAAATTACATTCACATATATGAGAGTTATTTATTATTACACAACAATTTTAGAAATAACCTAATTTTAAATTATCTATTAAAAAAAATACTTTTATACATTATTATTGTAGTATAAATTTTATAAAACGTAATCTTTAAACTCTAATTATAAAAAATGAAATAATTGAACGAATAGCTGATAGGCTTATTTCAAACAAACCAAAGAACATTAATTTGTAAGTCTTTTCCTTGTTAACATACTGTAAGATTCAGAATTAAATTAAGAATAGCGAATAATGACAGCTTTTCTCGAATCTTCGATGTTAAAAATATTACGCGTACAAAGTTTACATAACTCATTAGACGTTGCTGTATTTACAATAATTATCTTGTTTCGTTGGCTGATATGAAATGAAAAAAATTAAAGAGCTTTATATAAGGCGATGATAGGAGTGGTGAAAACTTGCTAGTTTCATTGTTTTGTTCTATATTTCTGATCTCCACTCTGTCATACATTATAACTCACAAACATTATTAAAATTATACTAAAGAGTAAAACTAAAATCGACCTAATTTTTTATCAAAATTAGATGACAAGTAAAGCATATAAAACTATTAAATTTATTTGATCGAAGTTAGACCAGTTTAAATTGTATGGCCAGAGGATCTGTTGAATTATTCAGATAACTTTAGAATAAACTCGAAAAACTATGAAGTCCCAGTAAATTTTCCAATCATATACAATTTATTTATGACAAGAGACAAACGTTTTTTTGGTCACAACAAACACTAACAATATTGTGCCATAAATATAAAAGTACCTAATAGAGATAAGCTTGTGACATTTTAAATATTTTGATCAAATAAAAAAAGAAAAAATCTTAATAAATCTGGTGTAAATATAACAGTGAAAATTGCGGTGAATTTATGCGGCGTTGATGAAAACGAATTAATCACACGAACCAGCAGAGCAAAAGTAATTTGGGGATCCACTCGGGATTACGTAGAACTTATGTGGGTATCGGAATTTATATCGATTATAATTGTACTTCGATACATCGATTTAAACTTAACTGACATCGTTATATTTTATCTGTGAAGTGATTTGTAACGTCTTTTTTGTATATCTGTGATGCTTTATAATTATGTAGAGGTGAAATTAAAATAAAATTCCTATCAAAGTATTAGTAATATTTCTTCGTTATTTTGATGAAGTTATCGTAAATGTGGTATACAATGTGTTATAATCAACTTACCAGCGACCTTCGAGTGGTAAGCGACCCCCACGCCGCAGACGCCGTTGTCACGAGCCGCCGCTACTTCACCAGCGCACCTCGTACCGTGACTGATAAACATAGACTATATCATTAAGGATTTAAAGTCGATTTTAGCATAACATTACCAAATTCATGATGAAAATGAATTGTCAAATTTAATATGTCATATTTAGAGATGTAACAGATTAAATTTCTGATGAAGATTATACATGTATATGAGAGAACGGCATTCGGTTAAAAATTACACTTAACAGTATTGAAATTATACATATTAAGAGGAAATGTTGTCTTTTTAAGGTTTTATAACTAACGCTATAGTTCCATCAAAATTTATAGCATTTCATGTAAAGGATTAAATTATATTGCTTCCATTGCCTGTTAATTTTACGTTACGGGGCATGAAACACGACCTTGACGTGACCTTCGACCAAGGGAGCGTTGAAACTTGAAACATAACAAGCTAAGCTAAATTACAGCTATTAAAGACTGTTGAAACGATTTATTTGTGTATAATTAAATAGAAATCAGGGCATAGTAGGAACAGCTTGTTTGTAAACATGTATGTAAATAATACAGCATGTAAAAATCAGTAATAGCTTAGATCCTTAGGAAATATTAAACTAAAAATAGGTATAATAATAACAAAAACTAATTAACATAAAGTAAACATTTGTTTTCAACGAAATTTAAATTATTAGGAAAGCAAAATTTGAATTTCATTATCTACCGTAACAATAATTGTTTCAGGGTCCTGTCTGAAAACATTTTAGAATATAAAGTAATCGAGTATTTTGTATTAATTGATTTTGTTTTATATCTTATTATTTCTCTGTATTTGTTTAAACAAATAGCCATAGTTTACCAAATTGTTATACGATGTCTTATTCATAATTGTCATTATATCTATTTCTGAAAAATCCCCCAAAAGTTAGGTTCTATAATAAAATCTTTAATAAAATTTTAATTACGATTGAAACTTATGCTATGAAACCATTAGACTAGTTTCCATACTCCACTTTACAGCGTGATAACATCTTCATCTTAATATGATTAACTTTCCAAGATAAGCTTCTGAACAGCTGTTAGGAGATAATTCATTATAAAAAATAAATAACTACACAAAGGAATTCTACCATAATAGTCTTATCATGCGCATAATGCTTGTCATACAAGAAATCGTAATTTTCTTTGACATTACAGACGTACATACTTCTTATATTTTTTTTCTATAGCTATAATTTAAGCAATTTAAATTAGGGTTTAATTCAAGAGCGTCATGTTCTTTCAGAGCTATTTTGAGACATCCTAAATGAAATCCCAAATGGCAATTAGGTGGAGACGCAATTCGAGATAAACTTTGAGGTTGGATAGAAATTGAAACTAGAGTTAGCCAGTCAATCAATATTACAGTACGTTTGAAATGACATTTAAATGATACTAGTTTTTGCCCGCGACTTCGTCCGCGTTAATTTCGTCATTATTAATATAATATGTATAGCTGACCGTGCGAACTCTATTCCGTCTTAAACAACCAGGTATTGGTATTTATTAAATTTTACCTGTTTCAATCGAACAGAATGATTAAAATATTAGTTAGTTGCCAAATCTAATGTCAAAAAAAACGTTTGTATAGGAAATAGAAAAGGGCTGTTTATGGGGTTTTCTCGGAAATGATTCATTTTTTTTCAACTTTTAAACCTTCCCTGAACCTCCACGAACATTTCAAGACTAAGATAAGATAAATCCGTTCAGCCGTTCTCGAGTTTTAGTGAGACTAACGAACAGCAATTCATTTTAACATATAAATAGATTAAATATTCTTAAAAATTGTTCAAAAAGTTTCTTAGACACTTACGTGATATGGTACTTCTCGAAATAAAAGTAATTTTAATCAAAATTTCATACAATGAATTCTTAAAGTGAAAATTCATATGCATGTTCAATTTAAATAAAAATGTGTTAATTTGAAACAAAAGTTTCATTTTTATAATTTGATAATTTCATGAAAGGTTGAAATAAACTTTATACTAATTAGGATAATGAATAGAAACGTCTAATTCGGGTCAAAATTTATTTTCTAGAATTTCTGTAATTAAACTAAGCGTTGTAAAACATTAAGCCATTACTTGAACTTATTAAGTTATTTAAGGAGTGTATCCAATTTATTATAATTGGTAGTGCTAAGTTCAAATATTAATCTGTTATAACTAGTTTTTTCTAGCGACTTCGTCCGCGTTAATTTCGGAGTTAAAAATATGTATATGTAAAGCTGACCGGCAGAACTATATCCCAAAAATATATAAAAATATAAATAACCAAATATTGAATTTTATTACGTATTTTTTTCTTTTTCGATCGAACAGATTAAAATAACCTTTGTCCATCTCCTAGTTCTAAGTTACCTCCCCGCCTTTCAACCATATCCCTATAGCCGTTCTTGAATTATTAATAGCGAACTAAAACAACTTTCTTTTATACATATACATATATAGATTACTAGTTTTTGCCCGCGACTTCGTCCGCGTTAGTTTCGTCATTAGTAATATATGTATAGCTGACCGGGCGAACTCTATTCCGTTTTAGAGGCCATTAATAATCAGGTTTCTCCTGTTTCAATCGAACAGAATGATTGACATATTAGTTAGTTGTCAAATCTAATGTCAAAGAAACATTTGTATGGGAAATAGAAAAGGGCTGTTTTTATGGTTTTCCCGGAAATGAATCAATTTTTTTCAGCTTTTATACCTTCCCTGAATCTCCACGAACATTTCAAGACAAAGATACGATAAATCCGTTCAGCTGTTCTCGAGTTTTAGCGAGACTAAGGAACAGCAATCCATTTTTATATATATAGAAGATAGAAGATAGAAGAAGAAGATAAAGACAAAATAGTATATTTTTAAAAACGAATCTTTTATCATATGTTTATAATTAAGTGCATAATAAATTAATATAAAATAAACGCGATTAATATTTCAATAATTACAATCTGATCAAAAACATAATAAAATATGAATAATTAATTTATCACTACTATCCAATACATTCGTATTACACAATACCAAAAATATAAAAAAATATTTTTACTAGTATATCAAATCTAAAAATAAAGTTTTAACTTACATAGCTTAAGAAATTAAATATACATACTTATTATTATATATGACCAATTCCTACCTGTTAAACCAATCGTCCGTATAACGAGGATATGGGAACGGATCATTACTACTGAAGTCATATGATGCCTCCGCGTTCTGAAACAATAAGAAAAATAAGAACAAATTCATATATAAATATCTATATTATATATTATAGTAAATAATTATATTTTGACAACATTTTTGGAAACAAACACCGATGGTTAAGCTTTGATTTACATTTATACAGGGTGACTGGTGAATTACTATCGATACTTGAGGACGTGATATTTGACGATCATATATGACAAAATAAAATTTAATATAACATAAATACTAATAAACTTCTAAGTAAAGTTAACCAAAAGTTATGTAATTAATTACGCATCGTGTGAACACCCTACAGATTAGGTATACACACACACATACGCGTGCGGCGGCGTGGTGTTGTATCAGCACGCCGACGCACGTGTCCACACTTGGAACGTGTCCACACTTTATTTATTTATACGGAAATTTGGTCAAAAATTAAGTACCTATTTTTTTACATAATTCGAATGAGAATCTGTATAGTAAGTTACCAAGAATGTTACGATATATTTTCTAGTATTACCATTAACCTATAAAGTTACGAAGAACTAGAAAAAGGATAAAATTGTATAATGGGACGTTAATGATATTTAAATTTATAATATAACATGTGTTAATTTTGTGGAATTCTTACATGTAGGAATGTACTAAGATGTAGGTATTTATTTAACCAGAAAATATTTTAAACGTTATACTTGATACCAAGGTTGGATGTATAAAAAAATAAGGCCGTTAAGCTCACTATCTAACATTTATTCAGAGTAAAAAACTGATTATTATCTAACTAATTGAAGTTTTTCGTCAAGTAGAGACGAAAAACAAATATATGTATAAATCATTTTTTGGCAAACACAACTATGACACAAAGTAGAATTAAAGTAACTATAATAAAAATATCCATATATGTAAATCATATCTAGGGCATATGAAAAAATACAAGTAGATTTATGCAAAATAAAATGCTTATGGAAGCACACATAAATTAACTATACACACTTCAGCCATTACTGAGGCCGGTCAACGCTTTCCAAGTCACGCAGTGCTAACTGGCTTGGCGAAAGCTTTTAGAAAACAACCTAATATGCAAGTAAGCATTACCAAATAAAACTGTTTATCGTATATAATTCGCCTAATTTTATATATATATATACAGGGTGACTGGTGAATTACTTAAGGAGCATACTCGGTACATGATTCTCATTCGAATTATGTAAAAAAAATAGGTGCTTAATTTTTGACAAAATTTCCGTATAAATAAATAAAGTGTGTACACGTTCCAAGTGTTCCAAGTGTGGACGCGTGCGGCGGCGTGCTGATACAACAACACGCCGCCGCGCGCGTATGTGTGTGTGTACCTAATACCTAATCTGTAGGGTGTTCACACGATGCGTAATTAATTACATAACTTTTGGTTAACTTTACTTAGAAGTTTATTAATATTTAAGTTATATTAATTTTTATTTTGTCATATATTATCGTCAAATATCACGTCCTCAAGTATCGATAGTAATTCACCAGTCACCCTGTATATGTATATGTATATATATATATATATATATATATATATATATAAAGCTTGGCATCTGTAGATACGTAACAAAATAATTGAATATAAATTAACCAAAGATATTTTAAGTCTTTTTTTATTGTATTAAAACTTATTTTATTCTATTTAATCAGTAGTGTTATTTATTCATAAGAATCAAAGATATTATTATTGAAATTTTTAAATATTATCGTTTATATAAATAATATAAAAAGTGGGGACAAATAAAAAAAAAACACTTATAAAACTTTGTAATTCAACAGCTGCTTTAAATTAGAATTGACATTATAATCTCTTTAAATTTAAACAAACAATGTTTTTATATAATAAAGAGAAAAATAAACAGCCTTTGTGTTAAACGTTTCGATATAAACGATCCAGTCAAACACCAAGTTGCAGCACCTTCAAATAATAAAAACTTCCTTTCATAAACTAAATGTTCATTAAAATTCAACAAAGGGATATAATGAAGAAAGATGTTTTACAAATGGATATTGAGACGAAAACAGAGAATTTTAACGAAGACGTATTATTTCCTTTTGGTTAAAAGTTATATAACATTGTTTTTGTTATGTCTGTAATTTTTTTTATTAAATACTAGCTTTCCGACCGCAGCTTCGCCCGCGTGGAATTCGGTTATATCGCGTTTCCAAGAGAACCTTTCAAAAGTCTGGGATAAAAACTATCCTATGTTCTTTTTCAAGGTCAACTCCGTCTCTGTACCAAATTTCATTAAAATCAGTTCAGTGGTTTAGGCGTGAAAGCGTAACAGACAGACAGACAGAGTTACTTTGGCATTTATAATATTAGTAGGGATTCTAGACAATATTATGAGTATACTTACATAATTATATTTTAAATCTGGATGCATGTAATCAACCCCTGCAAAAAAATATGAATTCTTTATATTTTCGACAGCACAGACAATTTTATGAATTATGGTTTATTCAACAAGAAAATCATTGTATAGATGAAGCGTTGTTATGAGATTTTCACCCTTTACAAAGTGACTATGAGTTATTTGAATTTCAAATAGATTTTATATACATTTAGTACTATATTTCGGTGCCATACGTTATAGTAGGAATATTTTACTAAAACTACTTACCATCGTCCATGATGGCAGTTGTAACATTTACTCCTGTATAACCTTGGGCCCAAGCGGCCTCAACGTTGAGATCAAGTTTGGGCTTGCCGCCATTTTGACCGGTATTCTTTAAGTACCACTGGAGGGGGAAGTAGGGATCACGTGGCTCAGCTGGTGCTGGTGCAGTCTCTGGTAAGCGAAGTGGACGGAAACCACGTTTGACGCGCTTGAAACCAGTTTGCTGTACCGCCGTATGTACCTGAGATTTAAAGAACCTTTTAAAGGATTACTTAGTAAATATATACTCAGTAAATATTCTTATTAAATGAGTATAAATTCTCTATAATAATTAAGATTAAAGTAAATAAATACAGACTCAAAAATTCATAGATAATACGTATGAAATATACTGAAAAAGTTGCTCAACGATTTAAGCTAGCTTGTTACGGCTTAAGAGTTTCGTGTGAAAACTTATATATGACATTTCATTTCTTAAATGACTTAAATATATAGATTGCTTAATTCATCAACATTATTCAAGGCATCACTTCTTTATTTATACTACAAGCTGTTTACAAACGATGGAACAGTTATATTCAATGAAATGATCGCCCTAGTAACGGCATTGTTGCTTGTTGTAAGGAAAAAGTAGATACTAATATATAGAGTAATAGGTTATTAAGAAATAGGGTATAATCTCACCAATGGGTGCCTCTTTAGGAGTCGGGCGTGTGCGATGGATCGCCTCGGCCGAGCTTGAGGCAGTCCGCGGTGTGCGAAATGCCATTCGGTCTCAGAGCCAAGTACCTGAAAATATATAGTAGATGTAAAACCATGTAGAATTCTCTCTTTATTTTAATGTTTAATTTTAGGCAAACTAGCTAGCATCCATCACCAGACTATTCCTATTTGAATCTCATAAAAAAAACTTTCTTAATTTTTTTATTTAACGAAATATGTATCGAAATAAAATCATTACGTCTGCTAAGATAATATTCCTACGTCGAACAGCCTCTATGTGAATATTGAGATGCCAAACTTCTTAACTCTATCCTTTAATTTTGTAAGCAATAAAACGTTTTTCTTTTAGAATAAATTCCAGTCTACATTGAAATGTCGGCATATATTCCGATATTCGCTTTGGAAAACTTAACAATGGTGGCTCGGTTGAACGTTAAAACAATACGACGTTGTGAATAAAAGAAAAGTATAAAAAATACCTTATAAATATCACCAGTTATTACTAAACTTTTCTCAATATTAGCGATATAAATAAACGATTATTTAGGAACATATTCTTATAATTAGAAGCTCTAAAATTACTCTAACCAACTGTTATATTTCTTGAATCTATTTCGTATGAAATTAAAGATTATTTTTTTGAAAAATATATATTTTAAGAACAATGACAATTCACAAGTGACAAGTATCCTTTACTAAATTAAATAAGAACAACGGATGAAAGTTTAAATTGTTTCCGGCACTTCGGAGCAACAACAAACAAACAAGAAACTAAATTCTCTCTACAACATTACTGTTAGTGAGAACTTGGCACGTCTTTCCAAGTAACTATTTCATTTAACAGATACTGAATACATCTACAAGATAATACATAAATTATACAAGCAAATAAACTAAATAACTAAATTTAAGTGTAGAAGTTACTCTCATTACTTCAGAGGAAATTCTCAAATGTGAATTGAAACTAAACATTGTATTTAATAAGCTATTTCGATGATAATATTTCGATTGTAAGAACAATGATTAAGAGATATATCTCATAAGTAAAAAGATTATTAATAACTTAGGCTTTTTCTATATTGCTATTAATTGTATACGTGATTTTTGAATACCTATGTCTCTGTGTGAGTAAACATAAATTTTAAATAACAAAGCTGGAATTATAAACTTGGACAAATAAATATAAATATCTATGTCCGTTATATTTATTGTAAAGATTTAATTGGTTATACAGGGTGACTGGTGAATTACTATCGATATTTGAGGACGTGATATTTGACGATCATATATAACAAAATAAAAATTAATATAACATAAATATTAATAAACTTCTAAGTAAAGTTAACCAAAAGTTGTGTAATTAATTACGCATCGTATGAACACCCTACAGATTAGGTATACACACACACTCACACATACGCGGCGGGGGCGTGGTTTTGTATCAGCACGCCGCCGCACGCGTCCACACTAGGAACACTTGGAACGTGTCAACACTTTATTTATTTATACGGAAATTTTGTCAAAAATTAAGTACCTATTTTTTTTACATAATTCGAATGAGAATCATGTACCGAGTATGCTCCTTAAATATTGATAGTAATTCACCAGTCACCCTGTATATTATTTGTAATACTTATCATTACATATTTATTCCGATTATTACTTATTTACAGAAAACATAAGGCAATGATAGTCACTAAAGATTTGTTATACCAAATGTTAATAAGACACTATACAAACATTTTGTATTTTTAATTAATTTAAACTCTTTATTTTATATTTCTATCAAATAAAACGAAAAGTAAATAAGACAGTAAAAAGAAAAAAACTAAATATTAAATATGTGAAGGTAAAACTGAATTGACATTCTTAGAATTTTTTCGCCCACATTTATCCTTTGTTTTGTGGAATAGCAAGAAACCGTTAAAATTAATTGGACTCTGTGATTCAGATACACGTAACTTTGCCGTCAAAAACAGATCACAGACATATGTACTATTACTTATATATAAATACATATATATAATTAGTATATTATATACAACATGATCCTCAGGAAAATTTTACCCTTTGAGCATAACTCAAAATGGATGTACCTTCATGATTTGTAATGTAACAAGTAAAGACTGGCTGAATAACTAGTCTATAAAGAAATAAAAAATGCGTTACTATCTTCGTTTACAAGTGATAGACACTTCAGAAGAAGTACAACCGTTTATTATGAAAATGAGGTCGCTGAAGATGGATAGTGTAGGAGTTCATTAAAATTTATAATTTTCTTTAGTTAACTTTATTTTTTATAATATTTATAGATAATATATTATTAGGAGTAACAAAATGAAAGTTTTGGAACATATTCTATCAATAAAAGTAATTGTAAAGTCAATTCAAACAAGATCACTCGTTTCAGCTTTATTTAAGGTCATAAAATTGAGCAGTGGCGGCTGGTGGGTTATCGAACTGGTGGTTCACTTTACTAAAATATTGACAAAAACAACAATTGACATAAAATATGTTTATTTTTTGTACATTAATTCATAACTATATCCAACTCTGATACAAAGTCTATTAGTCCACGAAACACTCCAGCGTTACTGGACTCAATAGTTTCATCGTGACCTCGCAAAGCTAACTCAAATGCACCACAAAACTTGACACAATCGATAAGACGTGATAAAATGTATCTGTTTTTATCAACTTGTTTATTATACTTTTGGATATTACTTCTATACACAGAATCTAGCTGATTACGAATATCGACTGTGCCTAACACAGACAAACTCATTACATATTGTAGGTGTACTTGTGAAGAATCGTGTTTTTTATTTTTTCACTTAAATGCGTCAAATCCTTGATTCCAGTTTCTGTCCAAATCGATTCTCCGCCAAAAATAATGCAAGGAAAACAAAAGAATGCATTAAGACGCTTACATCCACACAACCATTTCTTTCTATTATACATTTCACTTTTAAAACTTCGTATAAATGCTTTATTTTTCGATTTACACTCTTGTTTTAAATTTAAAAAGGGCCGTGGCGGCCCGGCCAATTTTATGTTCACTTTACTTTGAAAAATTTTGTTATTTTCTTTAATATAATCAATATTTATACTCATTTTCAACTAATAAAAAACACAGTACAGAATAAAAGTTCTATTATAGAAACGAAATGAAAACTAAAACGAATTACGGAAATAATTATAAACAATAACGAATTAACGCGTCACGCACACAGTGAAAGTTGAAACAATACCAATAACGATTAACGAAATGTCAATCATAGCACCCATCCTTTCGGCCGGCCCCTTGCCGGCCGGCTCAATACGTCATACATCGGGTGCTCTCGGTAATCTTCGGCCGCTTCGTGCGGCGCTCGAGAACCGACTCGTTACTCGGTACATTTCTATGAACTATCTTTTGTCTCACGCGTCAGGCGTATTAAAGCGTGTCTCATACAAGATGTATTAGCAGTCCTCGTGCACTCGCCGGAGCGCACGATATGAGTTTAGTAAAGCGCTCAAACTTTTTGACCATAATTGGAAATTAAATTTTTTATACCTTTTTGTATGTTTAAAAAATAAATATTAAAATGGTAATTTAAAAATTAAGATGACATAATATTTTGTAATTTTTAAATATTTTGAATTGGCGGTTCAGCGCACAGGCGCACTTAAGGTACAGCCGCCACTGAAATTGAGTATTCATAAAGTATGAGATTCAGCGTTCGTTGTTTCCGATACAAACACTTCCGCGTTACAAGAATTTATTGCAAACGTTTATACCGTTAAATAAAATGGAACTTTATTACGTAGCACTTAGATGCTTATTGCTTATTTTTACGGCCAATGTTAAGTTACATCAAATCTGTTGTCGGTAATGTTATTTTAATGAATTATTTGCACGACCTGAATACGAAACGAGTATTAATGGTACGGATTTTCTGGATCCTTACGAAAACAAGATGGATCGTCTCCAGACTTGTTAGATCTTAACTTGGATGTTTCGGAGAATTCAGAAATTAGTATTCCACATTAACTGCTCGTATAAATATAACTTTTAGGAGGTTTTTTTAAGCGATAAAATACTTTTGGAATATGTATAGACTGTTTATACATTAAAAATAAACATTAAATATACATAAAAATGAAAAAAACCCTACTTTATGTATAGATTTAAATTTACAAATGAAAATATGTACATCGCTTTTACGCACGAGAGGATTCATCAATAATTTGCGTAGACGCGATTTCAAACGTAGACACCTACGTCCTCTAAATGTACTTCTCTAAATATACGAGCATATTTTTCCTTTAAATAAACACAAGAACTTAATTATAACAAAATGTAACAGATTTCGGATCTTTTCTAAGTCAACTATGATAAATTAATAACTGCAAATCACATTTTATAACACAATGGTACATAACAAAGTTACAAATATATTTCATCACACAAGTAAAGTCGGAACTAAAGTAAACATTTACCTACAAACCTTCAAAAATAAATTGAAATCTAAATGGAGCAGAAAAGCACATGATTCGTTTATCCTTTCACGGCCAATTTGTTTCATTTGATTGCTTTTTATATAACGTTACATATAAGGCTGCTCTCGCTTTAAATGGAGTTAGCATAATTGTATTCAACGTTCTCAATAAAAGCAATAATGCATCAGTCGGAGAATTTAATTAAGTATTTGATTATTAAATACATATATGAACTGAATTTATTTATTACATAGTAATCGGAATAAACTCGATCATTAATTTGAGCAACAAGTCATACGAAAATCATATATATAATGTTACGAGTACCACTTGGGTGAAACTGACAAAGAAATTGATATTAAATACAGTAGTCAAGCAAAATCTTTTATTAACAAAACATGTTTTAATTTGTCCTTTAAGAATAACAATTAGAGAATTACTTAATAGTAATGTTAGCAATGAGTTATCTGATTACAAATTGTTTGACCCTTAACTAACTCGGCCATTCGATTCGCCACAATTATTTGTATAGCGTTCGTATCAAGTGGACCCTAATTATAAATTCTAGTTCAAACGAATAAAAG